TAGCTCAGCGGCAAAAGCGCCTGCCTGGCAAGCGCAAGGTCGTGAGTTCAGTTCCCGGTACCGGAGAAAAAAAAAAAAAAAAAAAAAAAAAGAAAAGCAGTTGAGACTTCTGGTCAAAAAGCTCCTCCAAGTTATCTAACACGGTATTATACCCAACGCCGAAATCTCTGTGCCAACCTGCTGACAAAAAGGTCAAAAGAAGCAAGTCTGGCAAGCAGTTTCATGTTAGAGACCTTTTCAAGGTTTAAATTACAAATATCTAATTTAAAATGTATCATTGGTCTGGGGATGTAGCTCCATGTGCTTGCCTAACATGCATAAGGCACTGGGTTCAATCCCAACCCCCAACACAAAAAATCCTCCATTCCATAAGGCACTGGGTTCAATCCCAACCCCCAACACAAAAAATCCTCCATTCCATGTATGCCACAAGTTTATAACGGTACATATTTAGATGATAGCTTTTAAAACAAGAGTAAGAATTAACTCCTAGGCTGGGCATGGTGGTGCATGACTGTAATCCCAACACTCAGGAGGCTGAGGCAGGAGGATCTCTGAGACTTCAAGGTGAGCCTGGGGTACATCATGAGTTCAAGGCCAGCCTGCACTACACAGCAAGACCTTTCCTCAAAAAAAAAATAACAATAATAGCCGGGCACGGTGGCACATGCCTGTAATCCCAGCACTCGGGAGGCTGAGGCAGGAGGATCGTTGCAAGTTCGAGGCCAGCCTAGGCTACAAAGTGAGCTCAAGGTCAGCCTAAATGGCATAGTGAGACCCTGTCTCAAAAAGACAGACAAAAAATAATAATAATACTTATACATCTTTATGTTGTTCACTTATGAAAATAAATGCATATTACTTTTAATATCTAAAAAATTAAATATTATATTTAAATAAGAAAAACACTATATGGCTCAACTGTTATCAATTATTTCCTCAAGACTGTTTGAAAATAATATATCGAACAAATTTGCTAATAAAGAAGCTAATTTAAAAGAAGTTTTCAGGCTCAAG